ACTGATTTACTGGTAGTCTCGAAACCCTACTATCATACGAATATAAGTAATGTATTCGATTGCTATAGCAAATATACGTTTGCTTCATCGGCACTGGTGCCAGGATGAGAACAACGTTTGGGAAAAAAAGGCAATGGAAACGTCAGCTCAACTCATATCATTGTGGGCAAATTCTACTACCAGTCCTTCATCAGCTTAGACGAAATAGTGTGAATACATCTCATTATACTGGTGGTCTCGAAACCCTACAATCATACGAATATTGTATAATAATGAAGTTGCCAAAACGAGATAAAAGCACACATAAATGAATTATCGTGTTGTATTAATATTTGCGGATAGTCGTAAAATGCCACTAAAAAAGCAAATACTACGCACCGTCTGCCATGACGAGGGCCCTGGTGTCATGCTCCGTCCGGCCTTCGGTCACGTAGTTGTCGATGAGTCGGCAGGCAAAGGCATCCGCCTCTTCCAGCTCCTTCATCTGTAGCAGGCAGTAGGACTTCTCCTTCATCGGGCCCGTCTCCACGCACAATACGACGTGACGAGCATGGCTCGGCGGCAGAAAGAACATACGCACCTCGGCGAAGGTGTAGCGTCGCGGCAGTATCGTCTGCTCGCGATGCAGCAAGGGCTGCAGATGAATGCCGTCCTGCCTCACTTGAACGCTGCCTTCGCAGAGGATGTCACTTTCACGTAGTCCCGCGAGCAGACGCAAGCTTTCGGAGTAGCTGAAACGTCCACGAAGAGCCGTCCGTCTGGGGCTGTAGAAGATGACCTCGAACTCCGTCCTCCGACGCTTCGGCGAGGAACTGTTCAACTCACTCGCCGCCATGCCGACCGGCGACCGACGTGACTCGGACCGGAGGCTACGCGCATCGGCACCCGAGCCGAGGCTTGAGCCGGAGCCAAAGTTGGAGTTCGGCGTGGTGATAACCAGCACTCAAACTCCACCCTAGAGTGTACAGCAAAGCCCTCCGGAGACAGTCATCGTGGAACCAGCGTGACAATTGACCCTCTCCTCAGTCGTCAGCTAAAGGTGCCGAATCCTGTGTATGCGTATGTCAATAGGCGTGTGTGTGTGTGTGTGTGTGTGTGT